TGACGATGCATTCGCGATTTCATGGCAGTTTACATCCATTTGTTTGTCCTGATTGTGGGGCTACATTTCAAAGGAAGTTTGAACTAGTTAACCATGGTCGGTTACATGGTAGAATTCCACACTCGTGTACTGTTTGTGGGAAAGAATTTTTACAGAAGAGAACGCTACTAGCTCATATGCGTTTACATACAGGAGAGACACCTTTTGCTTGCACCGTTTGCGGAGAAGCATTCCCAAGAAAAGTAGATTTAGTTACGCACTCCAAGATTCACAATAACAATACGAGTACAGATGAAAAGTCTCTAACATGCAGGTATGTCGGACGCATAAATGACAACAGAAAGTCTCCGGAATATTCAGATTGACATTAAGCATAAACTATTGAGATCTGTGAGAAAAATATGCCATCGAGATAACTACAAGTTTATTATTTCAGGGAGTGTGGACTAGAATTTTCTAACAGGGAAGCCTTGACATTACACTTAAGGCTGCACTCTGGTGACAGAACTTTAGTAACGGATTTATGTGGGTTAGCAGCTGCCTTCCAACAAACTCCTGGACACTTTTTAACTCCTAATACTCCTGGAACCCACCAGGTAAATGCATCTATAATCGTATAGAAAAAGTAAATACGAAAACTAAAAGTAAAATAAATATTTGCAGATGAATGGTCCGATTGGAGCTCCTGGTGTTAGCCATATGCATGGTGCAACGCAAACTTCGCCACCAGTTGGTACTGGTCCTAAACCAAAACCGCATATTTGTCCAGATTGTGGCCGTGGATTTGCTCAAAAGCATGGACTCTCTCAACATCAACGACGTCATACGGACGGCAGTTGTCATATAAGGTCACATGTTTGTGACAAGTGTGGAAAGGCTTTCTTCCAAAAAAATCATTTGTTATTACATCAACGTCAGCACATGGATCCTCCACCGAGTATACTTCGGCAGCAGCAAAGACAAGCTGCACAGGCTGCTGCACAACAGGCACAACAACAGCAAGCACAGCAACAGCAGCAAGCGCAACAACAGGTACAGCAACAGCAACAACAAGCGCAACAACAGCAACAACAACAGCAGCAGCAACAGGTACAGCAACAACAGGCACAACAGGTACAACAGCAGCAGCAGCAGCCTCAACAACAGCAACAACAAACGTGTACGGTCGATACCAAAACGATCCAGTTACAAGCAATACAGCAACAAGTTCAACAACAAGTACAACAACAGGTACAACAACAACAACAGCAGCAGCAACAGCAACAAGCGTGTTCCGTGGACACTAAAGCAATACAGTTGAATGTCACCATGTGAGACGGTTTAAAGCGAGACTTTACAGTCCCTGGAACAATAGCACTCCCAAATTTGCACCCTGCTGCCACCCTCTGCACGCACGTCTCTTGTACTAACACATCGTATTAGATATATTTATTATCAATAGATCCAAATACGAAGTAATCAATTTTATTACAAGAGTATATATACAAAGTATACATATTATATTCTATAATAATGTAAGGCTTGTAACAATAAAAGTAACCATATATTAGTGTTTTACATATACTTTATATATATACACACATGCATATATATATACATGTATATATATATATATATATCATTTGAATTGATATATAAATATATACATACCTATATATATACATATATATATATATATCATTACATATACATATATATATATATATATATATGTATATATATATCATTTACTCTAGATATAAAATGAAACTAAACAAATTAGTTGCCTTAACGAAATGAAAAATTTTAATGGATATATTAACTTTTTGTTTGCTATTTTTTTTTAATTTTTTTTCTCCCCTTTTTTTTCTTCATTATTTACTTTTACTTAGTAGGACTCGTCACTTTATAAGAAAAATAAAACTACATATTGAATAAACAAAGATAAAAATAAGTCCGTTATGTGTTGCTGCTTTGAAATACTGCTTTGTTGTTATTCTCCATGCTAGGAACGATGGTACGTTGAGAGAGAAAATGAGAGAACGAGAGAGAGAGAGAGCGTGAAAGAGCGAGAGAAAACGAAAGAGAAGGAAGAAAAAAAAATATTATAGATATTAAAAAAAAAAACATGAGAATGTGAGAGTGCGAAGGATCATTTATAAGATAAAATTTAAAGAAAAAAAAAAATAATAAAATATAACAAATAATAGAAAGAAGAAAAGGAAGAACAACAAAGAAAGAGAGTGAAAGAATAGGTTTTATGAGAGAAAAAGAGGGTGGCAGGCACAGTGCAATTGTTGCGTAAACGTTTTTACGCACTATTATTATTATTATTATAATTATTATTATTATTATTATTATTAATATTATTATTATTATTATTCGCTAATTAATATTAGCGAATTAGTCCGAAGTGACAAACATGCGTATTCGTTCGATTATCAATTGTGGCAAAAAAAAAAGTTTTTATCAAGATATATCGAATTTTTCAGTATGGATGATGGACAAGAAGAAGAAGATTAAGATAAAGAAGAATAACCGGGCAATATATAGAGACACATCAGTATCAGTGATAATTGATCATTTCTATATACATAAACACATCATCAAACGAACATTCGGACAAAACAGCAAAAATATTTTATATAAATAGGCCAATTAACTAACTTTTTCGTCTATTATGTGTTCTCCTTTTCTTTTCTTTTCTTTTTGTCTTGCTAATTACTTTGTTCTTTATTTTCTTTTTACTTTTTATTTTGTAATTTTTATCGTCGTCTTTCTTTCCATCCCTTTTCTTTTCTCAACCCCAGTGAAATTTTGTTAGTAAGCGTTCTTCCTTTCCCTGCCCCTGTCGTACTTCACACACATTCTCTCATGATTATCAACGTTTTTAATGATTATTTTTCTTTTTTTATTTTTTATTGCGATTATTATTATTATTGTATAATTGTTGTACATTTTTAGTTTCTTTCCTTTTTGTTTTTGGTATGCAACGTATTATTAAATGCGTGCGCGTACTCTCTAAACGAAAAACAGCAAGAAAAACAAAACTCGAAATTTTTCGCAAAAGTTATCCCAGCTTTAGCAGGATTTTGTAATAGATTTGTGATTTTAGACTTGTCGAAAGAATTGTAATATGTAATAGAATTATGCAAGAACTTAAAAACGATATAAAAAAAAAAAAAACGAAAAATCCAAAAAAAAAACAGAAAAATAATGCGAAGAAAAGTACGAATAAAGGTAGCTTTCCTATGTAGTTTTAACATTCACGCATGCTTTCTTTCCAGAAACGAACGTGACTTATTGGACCTTTGCGTTAAAATGTTCTTCATGCATTGAACATTTAAAAAAATTAGTATTAGTAGTTTATTTTAAATAACGATGATGGGGTGATGATAATCATTTTAGGAAAACTTTTCATCAAAAGTTCTCACCAAATTATAAGGTCCTCGATTCATCCATAAGGAGAGAAAGAAAATGTTGTATAAATATGTCAGGAAAGATTTTCTTATAGAGTCAAAATGAAATATTGGGGATACCTATGAAATGGGCAATCAACTATTTTATTCTATTGAGAAGATTAACAGCAGGGGATCACTAAAGGAAAGATAAAAGAAGAAAACTTGATTCTAGTGTTGAAGATTCTTAAAATCAACAAGTAGGACTTTTATGATGATCATAATATTATTTAACAATAATAATGGATTTATATTTTTAGGTTTTTATGGTCAACAGTTGAAAAAATTAACATTTAAAAGTCTACCGTCATTAACACGATTCTGTTTACCTGGTCTGCATAGATACTTCAATTCTAACTAACTTTATCAGATATTCCCCCAAACTATTGTCCTATAATATCAAGAAGAATACGCTGAGACATTTATTTTGGACATGGTCAAATGTAAGTAATGAAAATGGTCGAGTTCCTGCTGTGTTGGAAGATTATCAACGTCGATATATCCAGAAAGAAGAATACATCAACATTTTTTTTTTTTTATTAAACGTTAATTTGCTATTATTCAGAACAGGTTCGTTTAACCATAATCATTAATAACACGATAAACGTGTAATCTACGCCGACCAGATAAATGCAGTCGTACATTTTTTTATATAATCTAATAGTAAATACGTAATTGTTTATTTCATGCGTAAAATATTTCATTTGCGACTCTATAACTAAAGAATTTTTCTAATTAATTCTATGAAACATTTTTTCTTCTTATTTTTTTATAATATTAAAGTTTAAGAAATGTAAATTTTTATTTCTTTTATTCTTCTTCTTATTATTATTATTATTATTATTATTGCGTATTTTATTTTTCAAATCATCGAATGCGGATATTGCAGGAATTTCAACGCCCCGAAGTTATCCAAGAGTGGCGGGAATATTTGTAAATTTGAACTATCGAACAGTCGAGATAGCATTGCGATTGATATGCACAAACTCAACGTTCTTCTTGCTATTTACGTGCATATATATTTTCGTTTAATTCTACGAGGAACAACGAAGACATAAAAGGTAAAGTTATTTGATCTATATTTCTTTTTCCACTGAACTATATTACCTTGATTCGCGATTTAATATTGTCAAAGTTTTATTTGACTTTCAGTGAGCGCTGATTTCAAGATAGATCGCAGAAACATAGAAAGTTTTCTTTTTTCAAAAATTCGATCATTGTTGATCAAGTTGCATCTATCAAATAAAGTAAATAATTGGAATAAAGATTAGAAAAAGGAAAGTAAAAGTTACCAAATTGAAAAAGAATTAAAATATATAAATTCAATTGAAGAAAAGATACGAGGTAAACGACAGAAATCAAGATAAGAATATTCAAAAAGTAAAATAAAATAAAAAAAGAAATAAATATAATAAAAAGAAAGAAAAGTGCATCATCCTAGGGTGCATCCTAGTGCATCATTCATCGAATACATGTGAGTAGGGTTAGTCGCGATTGCAGCGCCACGGTGCATCTCGACGGCGATGTCCGGAGATAAATTAATCTAATAATGCGCATGCGCGTATAAAATTTCTCCCTTACACCGTCCCGCCACCTTTGGACGAACCGAAATAAATCGAACGACGCCGAGTCGATCAGCAGTACGGTATTCGTTGGACGCGACCGTTTTTTGCGTTTAGTGATGATCAGGACGAGTCGTTGTTGTTGTCGTCGACGTTGTTGTTCGTGGCACTGCGCGAAAACGAAGTAGCAGGTCTATAGACAGGGACCACGCACAGTTCCGAAATAAATAATCGTTTGTTCGTGAGATAAAAGAAAATAAGAAGATAGAAAAACAAACAGAAGATAAACAAGACTAAAGGAAAGTAAGGGATAAAAGTAAAGAAGGAAGGAAGGAAGGAAGGAAGAAAAAAAAAAAGGAAGAGGAAGAACGAGGAACGAGGACACGCGCGTCGTCGTTTGCTGCCGCGGCCACGGATGCATATGGAGGTTGGTAATGTTTTATTCGAATAATAATAACAACAACAATAATAACAATACCAATTAATAATACAAAATATTTAAAGAGAAAGTTACTTTTTTAACAGGACTTGTTGTCATTGTTTAATACGATCATTTTAATATATGGTATTCTCTTTAAAATATTTTTACCTCTTCCAGTCTCATTCACTTCCTCTTACAATTTTGATCAGTATTGTATTACCGAATCGTAGAAAATGTCAAAGGATTATTCTATATCATTTTAAAATCGAAGAAATGTGTGTCGTCAAGTGAATCGGTTGTCAAGCGTTGTGGTGGACGTGCTATTAGTCGTCCATGCTGTGTCTGTCCGTCTCCAACTACGCAATACCTTTTGCATTACCTTATCATATTTTTCTTTCATATTTTTTTAATATTCTTTCATTTCATTCTCATTTATTTTGTTGATAATTTTTCCAATTTTCTACCATTTCTTTTTCATTGGTCTAGATTTTAAATGGGATTTAATAAGAAAATAGATAAAATACAGGAAATCAGAACATTCGGTTCGATATTTAATTGTATTTCTATTCGCATAAGTCTTCCAAATGACCAATGTTTTCGTCGTAGACTTTCTCTCTTTCTTTCTCTCTCTTTCTCTACTTGTCTTCTCTCTCTCTCTCTCTCTCTCTCTTTCTGTCTCTTTAAATATATATATGTATATGTATATGCATATATATACGTATCTCTCTTTCTCTCTCTTTGTCCCTCTCACTCTGATTTTCTAGGCGCGCATCTAGTTGTATGCGCGGTACGTTTCTCTCCGTAGCCTTTGTGTACGCTCTCAGCTGACGCTCGAGGCTGCCATCAGCTGCCCGAGACTGAAAGAGGGAGTGAGAGGGAAAGAGAGAGAGAGAGAGAGAGAGAGAGAGAGAGAGAGTGAAAAAGAAAGAAAGAGAAAGAAATAGAAGACGCGCATCCAGGGCCGCCACCTTTCTTTTGCAACTCCTTCCTTCTATATTACAAACATATCAAATTTTTATTTTATTTCATTTTATTATTGTTATTATTTAAATTTATATTCTTTTGGTACAGTTGAAAGAATTAGTTATATACGATTGGTACTTTAATAATTATTTTTGCATACTAAGCACGTATAATATTTATTTTTTATCTTTTTTTTTAATTTTTTTTTATTCAATATTCTAAAAAAAAAAACAAATGCAAACAAAATAGGGATACTCTGGTATCATTATACTTCATAAATATTCATGGTTACAATTTATAGATTTATTTATTTGTACACATTATATATATATGTATATGCATGCATATTTTTGTACAAATAAACACATACATATATACATGTATATTTTATGTATATATATATATATATCACATATGAACTATTGCAATCTGCCATCCAATGAAACTCTACTGTCACGTCCGCACACGTGCGTCTCTAATTTTGAAATATACATGCACGAAAGAGAGAGAAAAATAGACAAATATAGATATAGAAAGATAATGATAGAGATAAAGAAAATTAGAGAATAGATAGATGAATATGATTGGATGAAGAACGTGTTATTTCTCTTGGCTGTTTCACGTTGATCCTTCTCGAACGTGCGTTATACCTTCCACAGAAGTGCAATGCACTCTCTATCCCTCTTTCTCTCTTTCTCTCTCTTCTTTCTCATTCTCTTTCTCTTTCGTTTGATTTTATTTTTATTTCTATTTCCTTCTCTCTCTCTCTCTCTCTCTCTCTCTCTCTCTCTCTCTCTCTCTTTCTCTTGCTTTACAGTTTAGTGATCTTTGCACTCGAGGAGATACTTGACCGCGTGGAAAATATTTCATTTTGATATCATTCGATTAAATCTCTCAAATTCTATGTCGATTATCAACAATTTATATATACAATAAACGCACACATTTAAATATATAATTAATACAAAAGATTTGGATTTTTCTTTAACAAATAAAGAAATCTTTTTATATATCTGTTTTTATAATTATATTTATTTATATTAATAGATAAATTGTTTCATCTTGAAATATTCTATTGAAAATAGGCACAACATTACCAGCCAAACACATACATACACACAAAGAAAGAAAGATATNAGATATATATATATATATATATATATATATATATATATATATATCTTGATGAGTAATCCTAAGAATTGTTTTTGTAATTAAGCTGACATTTCCAAAGGAAAATATTATCTATTAATTAATCTTAATTCGAATTAAATGCGTATATAAGTGTGGCATGTTGTATTACGTAGTATGCGTGTATCTCTTATTTATCAATGCGATTAAAAATACAAAAAAAAAAACAAAAGAAAAATAATTATATGTATGTTTAATTAAAAACTCGTAATACATGTTCGATTGATTTATTATCGTGAAAGAGAAACAACAACAAAAACCATTAAAGTAAACTTTTAATTTTTTTTTTTCCCGTAATTTTCAATTTCGATCGTTATTGTTTTATGAGAGAAAGAGAGAGAGAGAGAGAGAGAGAGAGAGAGAGATAAAAGACATTGAGAGAAGACATTGAGTAAACGTTTATGAATTTCACGTTTAACCTCGACAATATCACCACAAGAAGAAGCAAGATAAGCCAAAAGGCCGCGTCTTGTTTTGTACACATTCAAACAGCTGATTTGAGACGGTGACGACGGCGCGTCGTATAAACATTGGAGGCCTGTGTTGTTATCATCTCTTACTCACGTGTACACACACATATACATACATACATACATTATATACATACATTCATCCATACGATGTGTTTTCGTAAAGTAGGAAGAAAGAAATAAAAAATGTACATACGCATTCCGTGTTTCCATGATTACGATCTTTCCATTAGTATCTTATTTACGCATAAACGTTTTTAAAAGAAAATAAAAAAAATAAACACATAATATTTAAAAATAATCATGCAATATTATTTTATTTTTTTTTTATATTCGATATGAACAAAATGATGTACATTGTCCGTCGTGTTTAATTCTATTCCGTTAACACGTTGAACGCAACGTCAGCCATTGGTGACTGACATTAGACTTTACGTTTAGGCCGTGTCAGTCATTAATGACTGACACTAAACTATTTCTTCAATACAAAGTAACGCCTGTGGCCTGATAAGAATTTCCCTAAGAATTCGCGTGGCGTTCAACGTGTTAAAAAGGTATTTTGATTTTATTTTGTACGTAAAAATTCAATACTATTCTTAGAATTATCGATAAATATAAATATAACATGCAAGTACTTTAGTTAGGTTTGTACTTTTTTTTTTGATTTTAAATGCAAAAATGAAAATCATATTATGAGTAGAAGAGGAGAGGTGGTCGGCACATTGCAGCATCGTTTCTCTCGTATGTTCGTTCGTATGTTCTTCCTACTAAAGGAGAATGAGGGGATCAGAAGAAAATGAAACGGGTACGACGAGAGAGCGGTGAAGGACGATGACCCGAATTAAACTAAACTCAAAGCTGTGCGTCGTGGTTGCACTCGTCGTGGTCGTGGTCTCGTCGTGTGTTCCACTCTTCGTCGTGTTTATTTAAGTTGCATCGTTCGTCGTCAACGTGCATAGATTCTTCTTTTTATTTTTTATTCTGTTCTTCCTTTTTCTAGAAGAAATTCGAAGGAGAGAGAAAGAGAAAGAGAGAGAGAGAGAGAGAGAGAGAGTGAGAGTGAGTTTGAAAAAGCCATCGTTTCAATTTAAATTCACTTTCGACTTTCATTTTTCCATTAAAAAAAAAAAAAAAAGAAAAAACAACTTTATATAATTTTACATTTTATTTATAAGAAAATATAGTCTATTTATAATATTTTACATCTATATCAGAATTTCTCATCGAACCTTTTTCACTTGGCAACCAAACCACCGCCCCCTTCCATTTTTCTTGTCTTTTCTTTTTTATTCGAGTGAATATTTTCACCTGGCCTTGATTATATGTTTCATATTTTATCTTTCACTATCTCATAAAATTCTAGATACGTTATACGTGTAACCTAATATTAAAATGGGTTTCGAGTATATTTTCGATCATTACACGCTTTCAAGAATTTTTGTTCAATTCTATCAATTTTCTCTTTTGAGAAATTCTCTTTTATATGGATTATTAAAAGAGTATTAATTTTCAATCAATATTACAGAACAACAAATGAAAAGTATTTTTAGTAGCATAGAATTAGGAAACGTAATTAAAAAGAACATTTCTCAATGGGGAAATTAATTTTATTTGTTTAGTAATTTTTGTGTTTGATGTTTTTTTTTTTTTTTAAATTATAGAACAGATATTATATAATTTACGCATCTTCGAATTCTGATATACATCGTATATTTTATTTTTAACATTGACGATGTAATAATAGTTGGATATATTTTATATATAATTCTCGTATCTCTTGAAATAGATTGCTTTCACTTTTTTTTTATTTTTTATTTTTATTTTTTATTTACTTACATGTAAACTAACCATATAACTACGAGAAAGTTGGCACAATCAACGAATAAAGTATATTATATGTTAGTTTACTTTTTCCAGATTGATATGATTAGCTTATCACGTATTTATTATATACAATAATACTTAGTTGTAATTTATAAGATTAACAAAGGAAAAGAAAAAAAAAAAGATACGTAATGACCGATAGAAAGGAAAACTTAGTGCATTCATTGAAGTCATTATAATGATTGCAGATGTGTACATATTGCAGATTATATTCATAATTATATCATTATACCAATATACAATGTGACCTAGTTTTATTATTGTTATATAAGGATATGCTTTTAACGGGAAACATTGTAAAACAGTTTATAATCAATCTTTGTAGTTAGCTTTTAGTTTAGTTTTGATCTTTTTTAAAAACAAATAATTCTGTTAAGCGTAGTATTCAATCTAATTTCAATATCTATACTCCAACAATTTATCTTATATGTTGGTTAAATATATAATCTTAATATCTATATATATATTTAATTTAATATATATTTAATAATAACATAT